CAGTGCGATTGGCACAGGACAGAGCAGAGTTTAGGGCTGTTGTACATAGGGTCGCTATGAGTCGCAAGCGACTCGACGGCACACAACAACAACAATAATGGTCTGGAGCTTCCTCTGTAGGAGTTGGCTTCTAGCTAGCAGGTTGATGGAGGTTGCGTCTTAATGTCACGTAAGGGAAGGGGTTTTTTTGGGTTGTGTTTGATGTGTTACTGTTCTTTCCCCCAAAAGTGGGTGCCCATGAGCCTTTGACCAAGGGTGGAGGCCTGCTAGAGGGTGTGGCTTTAAAATCCATTAGTGAGGGGCTGGGTCTGTGTGCTGGCCAGGGGTCTGGTGCTTCCACTCTAGGAATTGGCTGGTAGCGAGCATCTTGATGGCAGTCACGTCTTGCTGGCAGTCATGTAAGGGGCTGAATTTACTAATTTTAGAATGAATATTCTTTAAAAGGCACAGAAATATTTTGTGTTTTCTATACTGAACAACCTGGAGTTGCTGTGCTCCTGAACACTGTTCCACAGTCTTGTCAAAATACCATTATGGTTACCCATTATGTACAATGTTTGGATGAGCTTCCAGACTGATTCATGCTGGGAAACTGAAGTGGCATACATTTCCTAAACTAGACACCTCTAAAAACTCCACAAACTCTCTAAGCTCTATAACTGTACAGAAATTATGTTAGTTATAGAACAGAGTTCAGGTCTTTTGTGCGGAGCTAACTCTGTGTTGTATTCAACTTGACAACACTTAACCACTGCTAAATGAGACTAGTGCTGTTATATCTGGAGGAACACTCTCCACTTTGTACATCACTCTTTGTCAGTGTGCTGTATGAAGTAACCTGGGTTTGTTGTGATGCTGGACCTTTTGCCATTGGGGTATCAAATAACATAATGATTTCCCAATGTGGACAGTGTTTAGTGGAGCTCCCAGATGTAAAACAGGTTTGGAAGCAGGAGTGGCATCCACTTCCTAAACCGCATGCTTCTGGAAACTCTATGAACTTGGAGAAATGACAATAGGTATGGAAAAGGATTAGGTCTTTTATTCATAGAATTGCTATGAGTCATGCTCGACTCGATGGCAATCAACAAAAACAACAATGGCAAATCAGGCATATGAATATCATGTTGCTAAAACAAGTCAAAGTCTGTGGTAGTGTGGCATGCTGAGGCCCTGGGTGAGTGTTGAAGCATTCTGGCTAAGACTCATGGCTGGTACTGAGGGGTAACATCCTAGATGTGAATATTAACGTTAATGTGATATCTCAGCTGCCTCCTCAATGCTGGTGTTATTGAAAAGGCCAACTTCTAGGCCGATACTGCTTTAAAATAGAGGAGCATAGATTATTATAATATTGGAGGCACAGTCTATATTGGAAGTCAATCAAAATGAGGAGAAATAGCTGCAAACATCCTCTAATAATTAGAACACGGAATGTATGAAGTATGAATATTGGGAAACCAGAAGTTTAAAAAAATTAAATGGAACACATGAACATCAATATTCTAGGCATTAGTGAGATGAGATAGACTGTCCTTGACCACTTTGAATCAGACAATCACATTGTATACTACACCAGGAATGAAAAAACAGAAGAATAGTGTTACATTCATAGTTTAAAAAGACCATTTGAAAGTCTATCCTGAAGTACAGTGTTGTGAGTGATAGAATATTATCCATGCACATACAAGCAAGACCTATTGAGACAACTATTATTTAACAAATACCAACAGCAAAAGTCAAACAGGAGGAAATTATCAAATTTTACAGTCCAAAATTGACTAAACATGTAATCAAGATGCATTATTGATAACTGGCAACTGGAATGCCAAAGTTGGACATAATGAAGAAGGAATGGTAATTAAAAAGTGAGGACTTAGTGACAGAAATGGATTGACTTTCATAAGTTAAATGATTTACTCATCACAAATAACTTTATACACAACAGAAATGGTGACTTTACACATGGACTTTACCTGATGGACTGCATAGGAATAAGATTGACGACATCTGTGAAAGGAATCATTGTAAAAACTCATTATCAGCCGTTAAAACCAGGCCAGGTGTTGGTAGTAGAAAGAACCACCAATTACACAAGTGTAAGTTTCAATTGAGGCTGAAGAAAATGAAACTAAGCACACAAGAACCAAAATGTCTCAAGTCTATCCCACTTGAATTTAAAAAAATTATTTTAAAAATAAGTTTGAAGGATAGAGCACCAATGATCATACACCAGATGATTTGTGGTATGGCATCAAGGATATCATCCATGATGAGGGAAAAAGATCATTGCAAAAACAGAACAGAAAGGGGGGGGGAGAACCCAAAACATGCCATAAGAGACCCTGAAAATGGTGCTAGAGCATCAAGAAACCAAAACAAAAGGAAGTGATGCTGAAGTAAAAGAGCTGAACAGAAAATTTGAAAGGGCAGCTTGAAAAGACAAAGCAAAATATTATAACGGAATGTGCAGAGATAATCAAAACAGAAGAACTCAATATTTTTCAAGCTGAGATAACGGAAAAGCAAATTCAAGCCTCAAATTGCAATACTGAGAGATGCTATGAGCAAGATCTTGAATGATCCCGAAAACATCAAGAGAAGATAGAGGCTGAGTTAATTCACTCACCGTATGCTCTCTAGCCTCTCTGTGGACAAATAAAATAGAAGGATGACTAGTAAGAGATGTATAAATGTCCAAAAAGGGAAGAGAGGGAGCAGAGGGGCGGAGGGGAGTAGTGGTGAATCACAGGATCCCAGAGTTTGGTGGGTGGAGAGAGGTGGCAAAAGAATTAGGAAAGATCCAATGGCATTCTTAGAAAACAAGGCCAATAGTGGGCATAGATCAATGGTGAGTTTTACAAGACACAGTAAATGAGAATGATTGTAGGAAGCACAATGGGAATAAAGGAGTATGTGAAATTCAAGGACGTGAAAGGGGGAAAGACTTTTAAAAAAGGAGATGGAGTGAATATACAGAATCATTGTGCCCCCAAAATTGGCTGACACTGAAAAGTTTTAAGACATCTGATCAAGAGCCATGGTAATGAAGGAAGAAGTTTAAGCTACATTGAAGGCATTGATGAAAAATAAGGCCCCAGGAATAGATGGAGTATCAGCTGTTATGTTTCAACTAACAGACTAACAGATGCAGCCCTAGATGTACTCAGCAGTTTATACCAGGGAATTTGGAGGACAGCTGCCAGGCCAAGTATGAAGTTTGTTTTTCAACATGGCTTTTCTAGCATTAATGACTGACTCTGCAGATGGACAGGACTATGTGAATGGGGCATGTTGTCTTACCCATAAAGGGATCTACTATTCCACAAGAGGATCGGCCGGTCTTAACAGTCTACAAGAGGATTGTCTAGTCTTGCCAATAAATTGAAATAGCTCTATCCAGAAGAATCAGAATTCTCCCCAGCCAAAGAATAGGAAAGAGACTCTCCTCTGATGAAGAGAAAGCAGAAAATGTAGGACATGCTTTGGGATGGCAGCAGCATCCATGGCTGAACTGGAGAATTGATACGAGATAGGATTTTAGGGGCACGGGCAGAGGCCAATATTAGCAGGACTGAGAACCTTGTTGGACAAGTGAGGAGGAAAGCCAATCTTGGCAGGACTGAAAACTTGGAAACACTGTTCTGGAGCCACGAGGCTCGAGGCTGAGGTGTCTGTGTGCACATTGTGGGAGCTATCTTGACTGTATTTTGTTATTTATCTGAATGATATAAACTTTTTTTACTTCCCTAATATGCTTTTGTGTGGTCTGTGAGCTACCACCAAAGTTCTTGTGGCCTAGTGGCAAGAAGCTATGCTGCATTCTTGAAGGCATGTGTTACAAACCCACCTCCTCTATGAATTAATCGCTCCCGTGTGATTAACTGTCTCTGAAAACCTGCCAGAGGGTCAGCTATTGGTCGGTTCTGATTTGATGGTACACAACAATAACAAGGAAGTAGTAAGATTGATATTGAGATGAGTACAAAGGGATAAGGAAGTATGGGGGATATGTCTGACCTCATAAGAATTGATTTTGTGTCATCGATACTATAGATGAGAATGATTCCCTCCTGAGAAGTTGAAAAAGGTCAGATATGGCCATCCCGATGTGGCCCTTGCTCTTTTGACAGCAAATGATTTCAAAATATCCATATTTTCCCCCATGTCCAATAAAGGTGATCCAATAGAATGTGGAAATTAGCAATATCATTATTATCACATGCAACCAAAATACTGATGCAGATCATTCAAAAATCACTAGAAAAGGACAGAGAACTTGCAGAAGTTCAAGTTGGATTTAGAAGAGGTCATGGCACCAGGATATTATTGCTGATATCAGATGGATCCTGGCTGAAAACAAAGAATATCAGATGAATTTGTGTTTTATCGACCATGCAGACATTCGACTGTGTGGATCATGACAAATTATGGCTAACATTGAAAAGAATAGAAATCTCAGGACACTGGATTGTACTCAGGTGAAGCCTATACCTAGGCCATGAGGCTGTTGGCCAAACAGTTCAAGGGAACATTAGACGGTTTAAAATTAAGAAAGATGTGCAGCAGGGTTGTAACCTTTCTTCATACCCATTTAACCTGTATGCTGAGCAAATTATTCAGGAAGCTGGACACTATGAAGAAGAACGTGGCTTCAGAATAGGAAGAAAACTCATGAACTCCTGTGTTATGCACATGACACAACCTTGCTTGCTTAAAGTGAGGAGGACTTGAAGAATTTGCTGTAGAAGATCAAAGAATAGAGCTTGCAACATAGATTGCATCTTAACATCAAGAAGACCAGAGCCTGCGCCACAACCATTACCATCCAGGACGGCTCTGATTTTCAGGACCGAGTTGTCAACAGCAAAACGCCGGTGGTTGTGGATTTCCATGCACAGTGGTGTGGACCCTGCAGGGTCCTGGGGCCGTTCTTAAAGAAGATGGTGGCAAAGCAGCAGGGGAAGGTGGTGATGGCCCAGGTGGACATTGACGAACACGCAGACCTCGCCATCCAGTATGAGGTGTCTGCTCTGCCTACCGTGCTGGCCATCAAGAATGGAGATGTGGTGGATAAGTTTGTAGGCTTCAAATACTCGGACCAGCTGGAGGCCTTCCTGAAGAAGCTGATTGGCTGACAAGCAGGGAAGTGCCCTGAGCGCCCTCACGCCCATGGGACCTCGTGGGCCTGGGGAGGGACCCTGACACACACCCCCAGCCCTGGCTGGTTCCCCCCTCAGCCCTCTTCCTGCCCTGCAGTCTGTGCTGGGGAGAGGCAGGCCTCCAGGCATGAGAGCTGAAAGCACTGACCTGGGACAGCCTCCTTCCTGCCCACCCTCTCTCCTCAGGGCTCGGGTGGTCCTCCCTAGAGGCCAGGAGCCAACCTACACGTGGGCAAAGCTAGCCAGTGACCCCTGGACCCACAGCACCACCGTCCTCATCTCCTTGGTCCCTCAGATCTGACCCCATTCTGGCTCACCTGCCTCTTCCCAGCTTTGTAAATGGAGAAGAACAAGAAATGCAGACCCGTGCATTTTGTAGGTCTGTAATAGAGAACTTTAGGATCCTCTCTGCCTTCTGCTGTGAGGAACAGACCCTGGGCCCTGCTCCAAAATGACCTGGTCACCAGCACCACCGCAGCCCTCCTCCTCCTCCTCCCACCCTCCCTGCCAGGTATGAGGGCTGGGAACAAGCCCTGGCTTGGGGCCCTGCAGACTCTTGGTTCTAGAAGGTTCCAAACACTGCCTTCCCTCACTGTTTGGCCCTTCAGTTCTCTGAGTGGGTGGCTGAACTGTGAACAAATCAGATGAATAAAATGAGAGTTTGCGCTGTAAAAAAAAAAAAAAAGAAGAAGACAAAAATTCTTACCACCAGACAGATAAGCAACATCATACTAGACAGAAGATTGAGACTGTCAATAACTTCATCCTATGAATCCACAATTAGCACCCTTGGTACCAGAAGCCAGAAGATTAGGAGATGGATTGCACTGGGAAGTCTGCAGTCAGGGAACACTTCAAATTATCGAGGAGCAGTAGTGTCAGTTTAAGGACAAGGTGTGTCTGATTCAGGCCATGGTCTTTTCAGTTACTTGCTTGGATCTGAGTGCTGGAAAATGAGTAAAGATGACAGAAGAAGAATTGATGCCTTTGAACTGTGGTGTTAGAGAATCCTAAATATTTCAAGTACTGTCAAAAGAACAAACAAATGGTTGTGTTCATCAAAACAATCTGATAAACTTCGTCATAAATAGCAAAATGAAATCAAACTCAACACTGTTGGGTTAATTCCGACTCACAGCAACCCTTAATTGGATTTCTGGGGCTGTAAATCTTTATGGGCGGAGATTGCCTCTATTTCTCCCAAGAAGGGTTGGTAGATTTGAATCACTAATCTTTAAATTAGCAGCCCAACATGTAACTACATCACAAGGGCTCCTTTCATTATAATAAGTGGTATACATTTGAATTAAAACAGTTAAATGTTAAAATATTAGCAATCTTAACCTCAATTTTAAATTTTATAAAAAGCATTTATGCTAAAATAAAATGTTTGGAAAGCACTGGAATAGACCTGACTTCTGAAATCATCGTAAGTTAAGGTTCAGAACCTGCCTGTAACTACGTCATCACTTGAGCACTTTTTCTGTATAAATTATTGTCACTCAGTAGTAGATCTTCAGATTTGAAAACTGCGTGATAAAATTGTATTTATGATCCACATAAAATTTTACTTTTAGTAGAACTCCTTCTGACTCATGAGTCAGAATCTCCTCATCAGTGGTGAGTTTTATTTTTCTGCTTTAAGACACTCAGGAACCCTAATGGTGCTATGGTTGTAATGGTCTTGGCTGCCACCCAGAAGGTTGGTGATTCAAACTCACTGGTCACCTCACAGGACAAACAACCTGGAGATCTGTCCCCATAAAGATTACAGCCTGGGAAGCCCTGTGCTGCAGTTCTACTCTGTCCTGTGATAATGCTTTGAACTGGACTACATTCTAACTGTACACGACAACAGAACACTTTCTTTTTTTTTAAATTTTTTAAAAATAATTTTAATGAGCATTTACAGAGAATTTGGATTTCCATTCATTCATTGCTGCACTTCTCTACCCGCTCAGCGCTCTCCCCCTGCCCCACAGTTCGCTCCTCTCTTTCAAAAGTAAAAGAAAGACTCCCTCCCTGGTACACAATCCCCCCGCACCCCTCCCATCACACCAAGTACATTCCACTATGCAACCTTAATTGTGGACTCTTGTGATAACTATAATACCCTATCATACATCGCTTTTAAATTATTCACTCCCTCATCTGTTTCAGTACAGTATACACAATTTATCCAGTTTTTCTCAGTCTTACCCCCACCCTGATATCAGTCCCATTTTACAGTAGTGGCACCATGCAATGTTTGTCCTTTTGCGACTGAGATATTTCACTCAGCATAATGTCCTCCAGGCTCACCCATTTTGAATAATATTGCATGAGTTCCTTGTTTTTCAATGCAGCATAGTATTTATTCCATTGTGTGAATATACCACAGCTTCTCTATCCATTCGTTTGTTGATGGGCACCTGGGTTGTTTCCAACTCCTTGCTATTGTGAACAACAGAACACTTTCACATTCCGTATATCATGTAATCGTCAACACAATCCTATGACATAGAAAATATCAGTAGAAATCCCTCTCTTCTACTCTCTTATTCCATTGGTCAGGTCAGCACCTAAACTTTCCCATTATTTGGGGTAAGGTCCTCCTTGTTTGAGGAGAAGAAGTAGAACCCCTCCACACTATATATCATGGCATATCGAATACTCGCTCACCAGCCTCCCTTGCACTGAAGTCTTGGAAATGGGAGTTAATGGAGCAAAGAGGCATAGACTGTAGGAAGTGCAGAGTCCTGCCTGGCAGGACTAGCCGTTGCAGCAAGATTGGCTTTCCACAATGCCATCTGGGCTAGTGGCATAAGTGCCATATGCAGCACTTGGCAAAGCAGCAGCAGGTCCTAACTAGACCAACCCTGTTACGTCATCGGGGGCGGGGGGGGGGGGGGGATTATTTCTGACCCTGTGACCACTCAGCCCGGTCGGAGTCAATCCGTGAGTTCCACAATATTCTTTCTGCTTCACTAAACCAGTCTATTTATGGTGTTTGCAGCTAAGAGTCCTAATTGATACAAAAGTATTGTCCCTATTTGACAGAGACTACAAGTTGAAAGAGAGTGCCTCGGGCACACAGCAGTAAACAGAGGAGTAGGCTGAGTTCTTAGTCCAGCTCTTGGCCATATTTCACTGCTGACTCTTCTATATTCTATACCTTGCTCTTACTTTAGCTGCTGTATTGATAGCGTTTTTACTTCAGTATGAAAAGTGATTCTTATCTGTATTAACACACTGATGAGGAGGATTATGTGGTTGGTCTGTGCAGATCTGAGATGTAAAACTCCTCAGAGTTAGCTTTGCTGTGCCACAGTTTTTCTAATCGACCTCTCACTACAATCCCGTGTTGTAGCCAGTTGTCATTAAACTGATCCCTTGTGGGTCAGAGAAGATCTGTGCTTTATTTTTTATGTATTTATTTTTATTTTTATTTCTTTTTACATACACCTCCAGGTCATTCCTCCTAGGTGTCTCTGGGTGTACTTGAACTCAGTTAATTAACAGCATTTGCACTACTGAGGCTAACATAGTACATATACCATAATACTGATGAGAGGGACCCTCACGCATCATGTTTCTAAACTGTAAATCTTTACAGGAGGAGACTGATCAACCTCCTCCAGAGCCACTGATGGATTTGAACTGACAACCTCTCAGTTAGCAGTACAACATGTAACTCATTACACCACCAAGTTTCTTTCTATCTCAAGCATATTGTTGTTGCTATTGGGCATCATTGCCTCAGTTCCAACTCATAGCAACACACGGCAGATTGAAACTTTGCCCAATTCTGTGCCATCCTCACAGTCTCCACTGTGCTTAAACCCATTGTGGTCACTGTGTCAAACCGTCTCCTTGAGGGACTTTTTATCCTTTTCTGAATCTCCACTTTTCACAGAATGATTTCTTTTCCCAGAGATGGTCACCTCCTGACATGTCCAAAGTATGTGAGATGAAGTGTGATCATCCTTACCTCTGAAGAGCAAGCACCCTGGGTGCCCTTTCTCTAAAACAGACTGGTTTGTTCTTTTGACAGGACTTGGTATAGTCAATAATCTTCACCAACACAACAATCCAAAGGTATCAATTTGTCTTCAGTCTTCCTTATTGTCCAATTTTCCCAATGCATATGAAACAATTGAAAATACAATGACTTGAGTCACATGCTGCTTAGTCTTTAAACTAACATCCTTGCTTTTTAACAATTTAAAGAGGTGCCGCATTATTCACCAACACAAGAACATCGAAACAGCACAGATGTCCAACCACAATTAAATGGATTGAGCGATTATGGTACTTTCATACAATGGAATACCATGCAGCACTCAAGAGCAACAATTTTGTAAATTATTATCTAACTTGGAAGGACTGGAGAGCATTATGCTGAGTGAACTAACTCAGTCCCACAAGGACAAATACTGTATGAAATCATTATTGTAGAATGAGTATGAGGATCCAAGGGGAGGGGGGATGTGGAAGCAGAGGGATGAGGATATGCAGGAGGAGGGGGGATTAATCATAAAATTGTACTATTTGATGGGTGAGTGGATGAGGGAAACTGGAAGAATCTGTTCTGGAAAACAATGCATTCAAATTCTGTAAATAAACTAGTATATGCTAAAAAAATAGGAAGAGGTGCTGCTTCCACAAATGTTGATTAAAGATCTAAGTAAAGTCAATCCTTGACAAATTCAATTATTTCTTTATAAATGGACAGAATTGTATACTTTGCCACAAAAGTAGAGTCTGGACAGGGACTTGAAAGTATGTCTGCAAGGGTCTCATAGATATTTTTTCCTTGTGGTCAGAACTGCTGAGGTCCAAGTGGATACAGGGAAGTACCATGGGCGCAAAGATTTGAATAACTTCCCAGCAAATGGTCAGAAATGAATAGATTTGGGGAGACAGAAAAGGGACAAATGGAGAGTGGATGACGATAATTGAGTCAATGGACTCCCCTGTTTGTGTATGCAATCATTTGATGACAGTTGT